ATCCCCGCCCACCCAGGCGTGGCCGCTCTGTAGTCTTATTTATTTATTTCTTTATTTTGCGGAGTCCCGGCAGATCACCTAGAGCACTCTGGGTCCCTCTTGTTCATTCTGTAAAGACGTCTGCGTGACGTGGAGGGCTTAGATGTCTAGGCTAGCTATCCCCTCTGCCCTGCAGGTCGGACGGGGACGTAGTCATTTTCCGCAGCGTGTTGAGAGGGTGGTAATTCCTCCACTAATAGAGGAGAGGATTTGGGTTTTGTTTTTGTAACGCGGTGGTGTAATTTGCCCGTTTTTGTAACTAACGTGTAAAGAAAGGCATGCCGGGGGGTGAAGAGTAGTGTTTCCCTGGCCTGCAGGAGGCGCCGCTTACACTGGAGGAGGTAGGGGCCGCCTGCAATATCGTCCTCCCCATCATTCGGGAGGTGGAGGCTGCGAGTTCATAGTCGTCCTTGCTAATGTAGGTAGTCTAGGCTGGTCTAGGGGCTTTTTGTAAAACAACAAAAGAACAGATGCCCTTCACTATCAGTGTAAAGTATATGCTAGAGAATTGGGATCTCTCAGAAACAGTGTTTTATATTGGGTATTTTGGAGTGTTGGAGGTGCAATTAAATTACATTGCTTATAATGAAATCTTGAGATGGTTTAACTTGTTTTGAAATGAGGCTCTGCAGTGTTGCTTTGGCCTGGACTTGAACTCCTGGGCTCAAATGTGCCTCTGTCTCAGCTGACTTGAGTAAGCGGGAATATAATACAAGACTACGTCACACAACTGGTTTATGGATTTGAGAAGGCACAGGCTTGTATTCTAAAACTTGTTACCATTGCATTTGCAGCGCCTGCTTAACCTTGCTGAGCTGACCCCATACATCATGTGTTCCATTTGCAAAGGTTACTTAATAGATGCAACCACCATCACAGAATGTCTTCATACCTGTAAGCATATAGCTCACATTTCTGAATAGTATTTTACAAATTTGAAATGTCTTTAAAGCATCCTAAATTAAACATTTTCTCTTCCAATAGTTTGTAAAAGCTGCATTGTAAGACATTTTTACTATAGCAACAGATGCCCAAAGTGTAGCATAGTTGTCCACCAGACACAGCCTCTTTATAACATAAGGTAAGAATATATGCATTTAAAATGTATTCACCTTTAAAGCAATTATTTTGAGTGTTTTTTTTTTCCAGAAATCTTGACCTTGTGTAGTTGGGAATAAATACTTTGAACTCTGTCCAAGTTAGAACAAGAACTGTATAAGCATTGTGTGTGGAGCGCTTACTGGGAACTCTGTCCAAGTTAGAACAAGAACTGTATAAGCATTGTGTGTGGAGCACTTACTGTGTGTGGAGCACTTACTGTGTGTGGAGCACTCACTGTGTGCCAGGCACCATGGTGATATATGCTAGAGATTATATGACAGTGAAAGGAATGGGGAAGAAATGAAGTCAGACACAGAGTTTGGGGATATTTTAGCCTAATCCTTCAAGTTAGGATGGGAATGCTTTCAGCCTGTCATTTCCACTCTGCAGCATTTAGACTGTTTTTGGAATTCTGAAATAACTCGCCTTACTAGTAAAGCTCTAGATCGATATAACACATTGACTGATTTTTATTTCATGCTGTTTCCTTAGAGAAGAGGGGTGAGTTCGAGACAGGGTTTCTCTGTAGCTGTGGCTGTCCTAGAACTCAATGTGTAGACCAGGCTGTCTTCAAACTCAGATTCCCCTGCCACCTCCCAAGTGTAAAGGATTGTACTACTGCTCCTGGCTTCAATAACTTTCTTCTCTCTCTCTCTCTCTCTCTCTCTCTCTCTCTCTCTCTCTCTCTCTCTCTCTCCCTCTCTCTCTCTCTCTCTCCCTCTCCCCCCTTCCTTCCTTCCTTCCTTCCTTCATTCATTCCTTTTTCCTCTGTACCTGTGTACCACATGTGTACTTGCAGCCCTAGGAGGTCAGAAGAGGGCACTGGATTCCCTGGAACTGGAATTACAGATGGTTATGAGCTGCTGTGTGGGTTCTGGGAATAGAACCTGGGTCCTCTGGAAGAGCAGTCTGTATTTCTTTTTTTGTTTGTTTGTTTTCTGTGTAGCTTTGGAGCCTATGCTGGCACTCCCTCTGGAGACCAGGCTGCCCTCGAACTCACAGAGATCCGCCTGCCTCTGCAGCCTGTGTTCTTAACCATCATCACTCCAGATGAGATGGTATACAAGAGTTTAAGTGGAGTCTCTGCAAAGGGGGCAGTGGGGCTGGAGTGATGGCTCAGGGGCTTAGAACACTGGAAGTTCTTCCAGAGGACCCGGGTTGAATTCCCAGCATCTACAAACACACATGCAAAACACCAGTACACATAAAATAAAAATAAATCATTAAAAAAATATATAGTCTCAACGGGTGGTGGTGGCGCACGTCTTTAATCCCAGCACTCAGGAGACAGAGGGAGGAGGATCTCTGTGAGTTCGAGACCAGCCTGGTCTACAAGAACTAGTTCCAGGACAGCCTCCAAAGCCACAGAGAAACCCTGTCTTGAAATCCCTCCTTCCCCCACAAAATTATGTAGTCTCCATTCTCAAGCACACATTCTTACTGAGTGCACAGATCAAAGAACAGCTAATGAACCATTCAGTGATCTGTTGAATACTTAAAACTACTTATGCTTCCTTGGTTTGCTAAGATGAAGTATACTAGGCACTGTGAGCACTGCCTCACTCTCATGGATCAAGAATCAAGATGTCTGCTCCTAGCCAGGGTGGTGGCACACACCTATAATCCCAGCACTTAGGAGGCAGAGGCAGGTGGATCTCTGAGTTCGAGGCCAGCCTGGTCTACAAGGGCTAGTTCCAGGACAGCCAGGGCTACACAGAGAAACCCTGTCTTGAAAAAGAAAATAAATAAATTTTTAAGAAAACATCTGCTCCTAAGGGAAAACAGTGACTTGACTTTGTACCTAAATTTATTTATTTTTTGATTCTTAGATATCCTCTATCCTTTCTTTGATTAGGTTGGACCGACAATTACAAGACATAGTATACAAATTAGTGGTCAATCTAGAGGAAAGTAAGTTTCTTTTATTACATAGTTATGAATCCCAAAGTCTCTGACTCTGCTAGTTGCATTTTACATGTAATTTAGTCTGTGTTTTATCATTTTTTTAGGAGAAAAAAAGCAAATGCATGATTTCTATAAAGAAAGAGGTCTAGAAGTACCCAAACCTGGTAAGTTTGGATGTGTACTGTGATGTATTCATAGACTGTAGAGTTAAACTACGTCCTTGGGGTGCTGTCCTCCTTCCCTTTATGTTACTTGATATAGTCAACCTGTAGAAGCTCACAGTTCGAGGCTACATCTCATCTTTGCCGGTGGGGGGAGGGGGGTAATGAAGGCAGCAAGAACTGGGAGCTGATGGTTACAACATGCTCACACTCAAGAGCAGAGAGAAATTCATGCATGCACTCGTGCCTACCGCTCAGTTCACTTTCTCTTGCATGCAGTCCAAGACTTAAACCCAGGGAATGGCACACTGGCCACTTTTAGACCGGGTCTTCCCAGATAGAGTACACAATTAGAAAATTCCTCACAGGCATGCTCATAGGCCAGCCTAATACATACAGTACCTCATTAAGAGTCTTCCCAGGTGATTTTAGATTGTGTCAAGTTGACAATACTAACCATCATGGTACTTTTTGGAAATAACAAGTTATATCATCAAAGAGAAATATTTTGAAGGTAATGCTGCAGTATAATCTAACTTAACTAACAGTTTGTAAGAATTAAGAAGATTGAGTGTAGTGGTGCACGAATTTAGGAACCTGAGTCAGGATTGCTGAGTTTAAGGCCAGCCTGGGCAACATAAGGAGACACTTAATTTTTTTTTCAAGATAGGATTCCTGTATGTAACCCTGACTGTCAGCTCTAAAGTAGACCAGGCTGGCCTCAAACTAACAGAGATCCACCTGCCTCTGCCTCTTGAGTGCTGGGATTAAAGGCATGTGTCATCACCACCACCTGGAGTATGTATGGGGAATCACAGACAGACTCAGGAACTAGATTTCTGTGAGTCTGCTCCTAACACTGCCGCTTTATTAGATTAGGTGACTTTAGGAAATAATACCAGTAACAAACAATAAGGATGAATATGGTACTTCATTGAATACACCGATTAATACCAGCACGCTTAACAATGCTGGGCACATAGTAGCTTACTTTTATGGTGTCAGTAACAATATGGAAGTCAGGTAGATTTGGGTTCAAATCTTGGTTCTTCTGCTACTTGGTGGCTCTAGGCAAATTGTTAGCAGTTTTTTTTTTAAGTGTAGATGTACATTTATAAGGATTAAGTGAGAGTGTATATAATGTGTTAAATGTGAGTGTTGTACATGGAATTTGTAGTTACCTATAAGTGTTGTTACTGTTTTAATGAACAGTGGCCCTGATAAATCAGTCACATGTCTGCCTTCCCTAAGCTTACAGCAAATTTTTTACATTTATTTAGAGAGAGAATATGCATGTATATGTATGCACACATGTGTTTGTACTTGCATGGATATCCACTTGCAGAAGTCAGTGCCTCACCATGTGAGACCCAGAGGCTTGGCAGCAAGCATCTTTACCAGCTGAGCTATATCCCCTCCCCCTTAAAATCATTGATTTTTGACAGATTAACTGATGTTATTAAGGAAAAGAAAATTTGATCAGGATTTTATAATAATTTAGTCAACATAGTGTAATACTTGTATGATTCATCCCTTAAAGATCTCAATTTGTTGAAATTTCAGTGCTACATCAGCTTCTTTGTTTCTGTCTCAAATAGCTGTTCCACAACCAGTCCCTTCAAGCAAAGGAAAAACTAAGAAAGTCCTAGAGTCGGTGTTCCGTATTCCACCTGAACTTGATATGTCTTTATTACTTGAGTTCATTGGGTGAGTAACCTAAAAAATCCACTGTTGGCTTATTTTTGGCATTTTAAGAAAAGGTTTACATTGTAGTCTAGACTAGCTTTGAACTCAAGACAGTCCTCTGGTGTTTGGTTTGCAGTTTGTAAACCACTATGCTTGGCTTGTTACCTTTTGGGGCTCATTGGTAAAGAGCATTTGCTGCTTTTGCAGAGGACAGTTCCCAATCATGTCACATGGTTCATAGATGTCTGTAACTCCAGTTTGAGAGGATCTGTGTTGTTTTTAACAAAATCTCAATCGGGATTTTACCAATAAAGACTTGGGAGCCAAATGCTGGGGTGAAAGCCTGGTACTCAGAGGCAGAGAATGCACCCAGCTGACCATCCTCCTCCACTGTCATCCCAGAAGCCTCTCTTCCCATGCCATCGCAAAGTAGGCTTCTCAAACTTAGTGTCCCTCCTCTTTCTATCTGTTCTCCTGACTCCCTCTTACTCTTTTTTTTTTTTTTTCTTAATAATCTTATGTTCCTCCCTATCAGCTGGTTGTTGCTTACTCCGCCTCTTTGACCTATGGTTGACTTTATTTTTTTCCTGTTTATAATACTTAAGCAGAAAGTTCTTGGATTAAAGGTGTGTGATAGGACTGAATCACACCACTGCTAGAAACAGGTTTTTCCAGTAAATAACAGTCTGGGGGTTCATGGTGTCATCAACTATCCTGCAACAGATCTACACTCTCTTCTGGCCTTCTCGGGCACCTGCAGACCTGTGGTGTACATGCATACACTCAGGACACACTTTAAATACATCTTTTATTTTTAGATTTATTTTATGTGTATGAATGTTTTGCTTGCATGTATGTTATATATGTGTACCATGTAAATACCTGGTGGCCAAGGAGATCAGAGAAGGATGTTAGATCCCTTGTAATTGTAGTTAAAGTTGTGAGCTCCTATGTGGGTGCTGAAAACCAAACCCAAGATCCTCTGCAAGAGCAAGTACTTTTAACTGCTGAAAGATCTTCAGTCCTAAGTAATTCCCTCTCTTCCTTCCTCTCTTCCTTTCTCCCTCTCCTTTTTTTGGGGTATGGGGATTACAACAGGATTTCTCTGTAGTTTTAGAGCCTGTCTTGGAACTCTGTAGACCAGGGTGGCCTCAAACTCACAGAGATTCACTTGCCTCTAAGATTCAGAAAAATGTTTAAAAAGTAACATAGTAACCATTGGTATCCTTACCTCACAGTAAGTAGCACACATGACCCCAGCAAGATGGAGGATCACTTCCTTCAGAGCTAGCCTGAGCTGTATAGCAAGACTCTGCCTGGTTTTTGTTCCCCTTTTCTCCCAAAAGGAAAACCTGACCAAAACCATTACTAATACAACAAAACCAAGCAAGGAACAAAACTATTATTTTTGTTTATAGTCCAGAAGCCTTGACCATATGACTAGTTGTTCCCTCCCTCATAACCACTCTCTGAAGAGCAGTTATTCATTCTTTTGCAGTTTTTCATTTGATTACTGAAGGGTCAGAAGTTCTTGATCAATGGCAAAGCAGGTCTGGGATGAACACTAGAGCTTTATTTTAATTAGACTGGGCAAGGTGGCACTGGCCTTTAATCCCAGCACTTTGGGAGGCAAAGGCAGGTGGATCTTTGAGTTACAGGCCAGCTACAGTGAGAGCTTGTCTCATAAAATAATGCCCCCTCAGGAAATGAAGTGTGGAAAGTTTAAAATATTGTATTAAACTGCTGTTGTTTTACCACTAGGTGGCAGAAGTGACAATTATATTTCTTCCCAAAGATTTAGATAACCATGTTTTAAAAATAAAAGAAGGCTGGGCATAGTAGTGTGCATGCCTTTGATCATGGCTCTTGAGAGGCTGAGGCTGGCAGATCTCTGAGTTTGAGGCCTCCTAGTCTACATCTCAGGTCCAGGACACGGGCTACCCAGACTCAGTTTTAACCTATCCCTCAAAAAAAAAAAAAAAAAAAATGTTGGGTGTGGTGTCACACATCTATAAAAACCTCAGTGTTCAGGAGGTGAAGCAGGAGAGTCAGGAATTCAAGATCAGCCTCAACTACATAATGAGTTCCAGGCCAGCCTGAGCTACTTGAGCTCTTGTCTTAAACATAATTTTAAAAATGAGGCCAGTGAGACGGCTCAGCAAGGAAAGTCACTTGTCAAGCTATCCACCTGAGAGAGATCATAGGGGCTCGTATGACAGAAGGAGAGAACTGACCTCTGCAAGGTGTCTCTGACCGCCACATGGGCAGCAGTGTGCCATGAGCAGCACTGTAAAGAAATAGATTAGAAATGGTATTTAGCTGGTTGTATTGCACACACCTTTAACCCCCAGCATTCAGGAGGCTGAGGCAGTGGATCTCCAAGTTTGATCCAGCCTGTACTACAGAGGGAGTTCCAGGATAGCCAGGGCCTAGACAGAGAAGCCCTGCCTCAAAAAAGAAAAAAATTTTTCTTTCAAGTTAAATGAATTGCTGCCTACGAAATGTTTATATTGTTCAGTTTCTTTTGTTTTATGATTAAGCATATAATTTAAAGTATTAAGTGTTGATTAACTTTTTATTTTTCAGTGCTGATGAAGATAGAGGACATTTTAAGGTATTGGCATTTTTTGTTTACTTTATAAGAGGATGCTATAGATACAAATTCTGAACCAGATTAGCAACCAAGTAGACATTGTCTTCAATTAAAATATAAATGTTTGATAAGTAATTGAAGTTCAGCAGTAATGCTATATTAGTTTCTCAGGGTAAGAGACATTAAGCAGGGATTTGTTACTGATTCAGAACATAACATAAAGAAAATAAGTAATTTATAAGACCATATGCCGTGTTGATTGGTAATTCATTGTGTTTAGATTTTGAGGCAGGTCTTATGTAGCCCATGCTGCCCTTGAACTTGTTATGCAGCCAAAGACGACTCTGAACTTCTGACCTTCCAAGTGCTAGGATTACAAGCATGTACCACCAGGCCCGACTTTAATGTGGTAATTCTTAAAAAATTGTAATAGTCAGGTGTGATATAAGCTTGTTTTCCTGCCACGCTGGAAACTGCAGCAACAGGATACAAAATTTGAAGCCAGCGAGGGCTATTGTAATAAGACTGATCTCAAAAAAAAAAAAAAAAAAAATCCAAAGTGTTTTGTGTAGTTGGTGCTTAGACTTTAACATGAATTTAAATTTTTATATTTAACATTTTTGGCTGAAGTTAACCTGCCTTAACTTGTCACTTCAAGCATTCACTGAGATTTGAGGTAAGAATAAACTACTTTGTATCATATTTTGTCAGTTATTGCGATATGTAGCAAGCTGGAGATACCTAGAAAAGTCAATTTCTGTGATGTATCTCTGTGATATAGACTTTGTTAATTTTATTAAGAAATGGCTGGGTTGTTTTGTTTGTGGCACCTGTATACTAGAGTTTTAAGGGAAAACCCATAGCAGTATGAGTCCAACACACAAGGCTCAGTTATCCATCTCATTATGACATTTGAAGAGATTAGTAGTTGGGGCTAGGGATAGAGTTACAGCTGATACTAAGGTACTTATTGGCCAAGAATGTGTGAAACCTGGGGTTAAGTTCCCAGCACTCCATAAACAGTGTGGTGACTATACCTGTGATCCATCCCAGCACTTGTGAAATACTTATCAAGTGCAAGGCAACTCTCTGGATAATATGAAACCCTGTCTGGAAAAAAAAAGGAAGTATTGCTGAAAAGCATTAAAAGGTTTAATATTGCCACATCAGGAAAAGGAAGAGATAAAGAGGTTCCATGACTCATTTGTCTTCAGGTCACTGGCTTTTTGTGATGGTGGTGGTTTTGTGTTTTTGAGACAGGTTCTCATTCTGTAGCCCAGGCTAACCTGGAACTTATGTAGCCCAGTCTGGCCTTGAATTCATGACAGTCTGCTTGCCTTAGTCTCCGAGTGTCTGGATTATATGTGTGAGTCCTCATGCCTGGCAATTTTAGGTTTAAACAGAAGAATTGGAGCAGGAGGCAACAAGTATAAATATATACAATTATGTTTTGATGGGTTGTTATCTTAGTTCTGGCTCTCCCAAGCTGGTTAAGAGACATTCTTACTGTTTGAGGGAACAGTTCAGTTCTTTTGAGATGATTGTTCCTGGTAAAGATGTTCTCACCAAGGGACTATCTGTCTGTGAGGCTCTGATGTACCTAGAGTCTTAGGTGACTGTCCTTTTACTGGAGATGCCTTTGGGGAATCTGGCAGCAAGGAGCAGGAGAGCTAGCTCAGCAGTTAAGATCCTACTACTCTTACAGTCCTTTTACTGGAGATGCCTTTGGGGAATCTGGCAGCAAGGAGCAGGAGAACTAGCTCAGCAGTTAAGATCCTATACTACTCTTACAGACCCACATGGAGTGACTCACAGCTGCCTGTAACTCCAGCTACCTGTCTAGATTTCTTCTCATTCTAAAAGTAATCCCCCCCCCCTTTTTTTTTTTAAAGATAGGCCTGTAACTTAGGTTGTCTTTAGTTCATGGCGGTTTTCCTGACTCAGCTTCTAGAGTATTGGGATTTATAGGTGTGAGCCACCATGCCTTACTTTAAGAAAAAATGTTTCTCACTATGTTGTCCAGGCTGTCTCAGCTGTTAAACTCAAGTAAACCCCTACCTCAGCCTCAAGTAGCTGGAACTCCAGGCATGTACTACCTTGCTGTGTAGTTAATACTTACTTGATCCTCTTGTGTCATCTTTTCCCAAGTAGCTGGAGCTACAAGCAGGCACTGTGATGCCTGGGGTTTTGTTTTGTCTTGTGTGTGTGCGTGCGTGCCTGCGTGCATGCGTATTTGCAGGAGGATGCCAACCATAGCTCAGGCTGATCGAGATCCCCTCTCAAACGTTGGGATTTTAGGCTTGTAGCATTGTACCTGACTTCCTTGTTTTTCATGAACTTTCAAAGTAAACCAGCAAGCCTTTCTATTAAAAATTTTGTTGGCATATTTAAAAGATTTGCAGAATTTCTATTTTTTTCTTTGAATTACAAATTGACTAATAGAGTTCTTTTTAATAACCTACTGAATCTTTGCTTTAAAGTTTGTAATTTCATGTATGTATATACTTACATAATCTGAAAGTCTTCTGTTTTTGTAGCCATTGGAAAAGAAGTTTGTGCGTGTTTCAGGAGAAGCGACTATTGGGCATGTAGAGAAATTCCTTAGAAGAAAAATGGGTCTTGATTCAGCTTGTCAGGTACAGTACATGTATGTAAAAGGAAAGGTGAGGTTGCAAGACTACTTTTGACATATTGAAGAATTGTCTCTAGAATCATAGGGTGGCTTTTATTGATGCAGATACTATGACTGTTAATGGAATATTGATACATTGTAATTTCTATCTCCAAAGTGACATCTGATTTACCCTCTGTATTAGTCATGGTTCTCCAGAGGAACAAAACTGATAGAATGAATATTCAATAAAATATATGTATTAGATATGTACATAATATATATGCTATATATATATATATATACTATGCACATATAATATAAATATATTATATACATATTTAGTGTATTTGCATATACACACATTAAAGAGAGATTTATTAGAATGGTTTACAGGCTGTGGTCCAACTAGTCCAACAATGGCTGTCTCCTGATGCAGAAGTCAAGAATCTGGTAGTTGTTCAGTCTATGAGGCTAAGACAGCTGGTCTTCAGTCTGTGAACTAATACCAGCAAATAACGCTTCAGCCCAGGATAGATGAACTTGCCAGTGAGATAGGTTGTCACCAGAAAGTATAGCCCAGATTTAGGGTGATCTTCTGATCCCATATGATGCATTTAAGAAAATTCTTTGCTGGGCAGTGGGGCACGCCTTTAATCCCAGCACTCAGGAGGCAGAGGCAGTCAGTTCTCTGTGAGTTTGAGACCAGCCTGGTCTACAAAAGCGAGTTCCAGGACAGCCTCCAAAGCACAGAGAAACCCTGTCTCAAAAAGAAAAGAAAAGATTCTTCACAACTGGTTGGTGATGGCACACACCTTTGATCCTAGCATTCTTGAGGCAGAGGCAGGTGGATCTCTGTTAGTTCAAGGCCAACCTGGTCTACAGAGTTCCAGAACAGCCAGAGCTGTTAGGCAGAGAGACTTTGTCTCTCAAAACAAAACAGAGAGATTATGAATGAATGAATGAATTTCTTTACAGGCATGCCCAGCTGCTGCTTGGGTTTTAGTTGGTTCCTGATGTAGCCAAGATTGACTGTCACACCTTCCATTTCTTACTGCCGTTGAGGACGGTCTCCTGATTTCAGGAGAAACCGAGGCTGTGGGAAACACTAACTCTTGTGCAGTTGGTAGTAGAACAAGAGACTGCTTAGTTTCTGCTTTCCACCAGAAGACTTCCTTGCAGGTGTAATGGAAACTCAAATACCTAGAAAACTGAAATACTTGATATAGACCCTATTAGCTTTTTAAGGATGGAAAAATACCTTCTGCTTATGTATTTTCTTGTTATAAGTTAGAAAACATCAAACTTTGCGTGTTACCAAAAATTAAGATGTCCTCAAAAGGGGCTGGGAGATGGTGCAGAGGTTAAGAGCACCAACTGAGTTCAGTTCCCAGCAACCACATGGTGGCTCGCAACCATCTGTTATGAGATCTGGTGTGCAGATATACCTGGAAGCAGAATGTTGTATACATAATAAATAAAAATCTTTAAAAAAAAAAAAAGATGCCCTCAAAATTCTAGTTATGGGTCAACTGAAAATGTACCTTTATATAGCTTTGCTTTTTTTTTTTAACTACCATGCATAGCTTGAGAGAATATTAGTGTCTAGACAGGAGGCAGCATGTTGTTGACTTGACCATATACTATAAGTAGGAAGTGATATCCAGGTGGGCAGGTACTAGCATATCTATTGCTCCTTTTGTGACTAAGTTTTGATCAGAGATCAATTCCTGTTTATTTAATTTTTGTTGTTTTGGGACAGGGTCTCGTGTAGCTCAAGCTGTTCATTCTCAAACTCCGTATGGAGCCAAGGCGGGGTTGAGTTTCAGGTCCTCCTGCCATGCTTGCCACAATTCCCATGTATAAATAATAAAAATCCCCATATCCAAAGCTCAAGGTTGGCTTTAAAGTTTTCCCTCTTTATTTATTTTTAATTTTGCAGTTTTACTCTGTGTGCATTTGTTTACATGCCGTAGCACACATATAGAGGTTGGGGAAAATCTTTGGGACTTGGTTTTCTACCTGTCCTGTAGGTTCTAGGGATCAAACTTAGGTTGTTGGGCTTGCTCACTCAGCAAGCACTTTTGTCTACTGAGTCATTTTTCCAGCCCATTTTGTTTGTTTGTGGTTTTTGGAGACAGGGTTTCTCTATAATAACCTTGGCTGTCTCAGAACTCACTTTGTAGATCAGGCTGAGATTACCTGCCTCTGCCTCTCAGGTGCTGGAATTAAAAACATGCACCATCTTGCCCACCCTCTTGACCAATATTTTAGATTTAAGAGCATTTTGCTTGTATATATGTATGTGTACTGTATTTATGTATGGTGCTCCCAGATGTGAAAAAAGGGCGTTGGATCCCTGAGAACTGGAGTTAGACTGTTGTGAGCTTCCTTGTGGATGCTGGAAATTGAATCCCAGTCTTCTATAACAGTAGCAAATGCTCTTAACCACTGAGCCATTTTTCTAGACCCCCAATTTATTCTTATTGATAAAAAGTCATTTATATATTTGTGCAACATGTACAAGGATGTTTTGAAATGTGTACTCTGTGAAATGGCTAAATTGAGCTAACATAGCATCTTTTTACATTCTTTATTCCTTTTTTCTTTTTCTTTTTATGTTTGTTTTTTTGAGACCGACTTTCTCTAGCCCTGCCTGTCCTGGAACTCACTTTGTAGATCAGACTGGCCTTAAACTCAGAGATCTACCTGCCTCTGCTTCCCCAATGCTGGGATTAAAGGTGTGCACCACCATGCCTAGCAAATTTTTTTGACCATTATTTTAACAGCTCTAGCTGTCCCAGAGCTAGCTCTGTAGACCAGTCTGGCCTCAAATTCAGATCTGCCTGCCCTTGTCCTTGACTCCTAAGTGCTAGGACTAAAGGTGTGTGCTACCTTTGCCCAACTTGCTTGTTTTGTTTTGAGACAGGATCTCATGTGTGTATTCGTGGCTGGCTAGAACTCTAGAGATCCAGCTGCCTCTGCCTCCTTCCCAGGTGTTAGGATTAAAGTTGTGTACTATAACAATTGGCTGGTTTGTTTGATTTTTGAGATAGAGTCTCAATATGTAGTTTAGTGTAACACGAATAATAAAAACCCAGAGACAGATATTGGGATTCAAGCTGAAGATCAGAAAAGCAAAGCAGCCAGTTACTAGAGAGTCCTTACCAAAGGCCGCCATGCCAAACCCCCCGCCCCCCATCCTGTCCTTAGAGTAACTGCAGACTACAATGTTCTCCACCAAACCTCTGAACCTCTGACTTCACGGAAACTGCACTGAGTTTCCTGCCTTATATTCTTCTCTAGTGCTGGGATTAAAGGTGTGTCATCCCAAATGCTGGGATCAAAGGTGTGAGCTCTGTTTCTCTTTTAGACTGATTCACTCTCATGTAGCCCAGGGTGGTCTTGAACTCACAGAGATCCATCTTGAACTCACAGAGTGCTTGGAATAAAGTTGTGGCCACAACTGCCAGTCCTCTATGGCTAACTAGGGGCTTAGCTCTGCATTCTGATCTTCAGGCTAGCTTTATTAGATTATAAACAAAACATTACCACAGTTTAGACTGGCCTGGAGCTTGTGGCAGTATTTGTGCCTCAATTTGTGTCCTGGGATTACAGGTATGTGCCATAAATTTACTTAAAAAATTTAGGTATCTAAAATTTTTATGTGTATGAATGTTTTGCCCACATGTATGTATGTGTACCATATATATGTATATTGCCCATTATTGGCCCTGGAGAGAGAGTTCTAGGGCAGCCAGGGCAACAAAGAGAAACCCTGTCTTGAAAAAATCAAAAACCCCAGATACTCTGCAAGAGCAGCAAGAACTCAACCACAGAGCTATCTTTCTAGCCCCTCAGGTTTTAAGATGTGATCTTGCAGAATTGCTCAACCTAGCTTCCAACTCTTGATCACCTTGCTTAAGCCCTCTAAGTGGGGACCATTGTCATATGCTACCATGACGGCTTCAAAACCTTTCTTGAGAATGTTTTATCAGAAGTGTTTGCCAGCCAGACATGAGGACCTGGATACAGATCCTCAGTAAAAGCCAGGCCTGACCGTGCGTTTGTAGTACTGGCCTAGGGGCACTGGCCATCCTGCCTGATCAATTAGTGAGCTCCAGGTCCAGTGGAAACAAGTTAGAGAGTGACAGAGGACACCTGCCAAAAATTTGCTGGGCTCCGTGAGCAAGGGTGCACATAAAGAAAAATGTCTGATTTTTAAAAAGTGTACTATAAAATAAATCTTGAAGTAGCCATGCTAATCCCTACCCCCCTCATGTGTTTTGAAGCAGAAAGTGGTCTGATAGCCCATTGTTTTCCCATAGGTAGATATCATCTGTGGTGATCACTTATTGGAACGATACCAAACTCTACGGGAAATCCGACGTGCAATAGGTGATGCAGCAATGCAGGTAGGTCTTGAACAGATTTACTGTTTAGTGTTGTAGAGCTGAAAAGATGGCTTAGAGATTAAGAGTACTGCCTGCTCTTGCAGAGGACCTGGGTTTGCTGTTGAGTTGGAGGACCTTTGGCTACATATTAAGACTCTATGTCAAACAAAACCAAAGATTCATAAATTTAAAAAAGCTAATAGATTTTAATTGAGTGCGGCAGGAAACTATTTGGGAATTGTGAAGTGACAATCTGATTTATTATTGAAGAGTGCTGGTCGAGATAGCTAAAGTTGCTTTCTAACAGTCGTGTCTGCTGGGTGTGGTAGCATGCACTTGGTGTCACTTGGGTGGAGGCAGGAGGATCAGGTCTTTAAGCCCATCCTAGGCTACATAGCTAGTTTGAGGCAATCAGGGTTTTAATGCAGTCTCAAGAAACCTGACCATTCCCTTGACGTGCATTATTTATTAGAATGGAGACCCCGATCTAATTACCTTCCACTAAGCCCCACATTTTCAACACAGCGTTAGCATTTGAACCTGTGAAGGACAAACCATAAACTGGCATAGAATTAAAAGTTAAGTCTAAGCTGGGCACTGGTGACTCATGCACTCAGGAGGCAGAGTCCGGAGGATTTCAGTGAGTTGCAGGCTAGCCTGGTCTACAAAGTGAAACAGAGAAACCCTTTGGGGGCGGGGTTAAGACTATGACAGAGCTATGAATAGAAAATATAAATTTAAGTGATGCTTACATGTGCATATTTATAGAAAATACAAATATAGACATCTAGATTACATTTAAGTTACAAGCAATTCTATAAAATATGTTCTTACATATGCACTGGAATAATTTTGAGATCTTAAAACAGCTTGTATGCTATACTTTGAGTTTTATATCTGTATATCAATATATTGTTCTGAAAAACACTTTTCATTTCTGACTATGGTGGTGAAATGCAAAAGTATGATTTGTATGTATATAATGATAATGGAGTCTTTGTATTTGTGTTATGTGGATATTCACTTTAATCATGCTGATTAATTTGGAGTAGATATGATGGTGGTTCATGGACCAAACATGGTATGGTATTATGTGTGTGTGTATTTTGGTTTTTTGTTTGGTTTTTGAGACAGGTTTTCTCTGTAACAGCTCTGAATGTCTTGGAATTCACTCTATAGACCAGACTGGCCTGGAACTCAGAGATCTGCTTGCCTCTGTCTCCCGCATGCTGGGTTTAAAGGCATGCGCTACATGCCTGGCTTATTGTATATTTTAAATGTTTAGATTTCTACAGGTAGACATCTGTTGTTTGATTTACCCTTGGTGTTTGTCATTTCTTACTATCTCATATGTCTGTTACACATTCATTGATGTTACTTTCCTGGCCTTTGTGAATTTGTAAACCCTTTTCTTAGAACCCTGGTGTCCTTGCTGGAGTTGCCAAAAGAACAGAAGCCAGGTTGCAGTGGGTTGAGTAGTGGATGAGAAATGAAGAAATAAAACTATAGTGTTTTATTTTTCTTTTATCATCATCATCGTCATTATTTTGTTGTTTTTGAGACAAGGTCCTAGCTGTCCTGGAACTCACTGTGTAGATCAGGCTGGCCTCAAACCCACAGAGATCTGCCAGACTATGCTTCCCAGGAGCCTTATTTACTTTTTTTTGCAGTTTTTCGAGACAGGATTTCTCTGTGGCTTTGGAGGCTGTCCTGGAACTAGCTCTTGTAGACCAGGCTGGTCTCAAGCTCACAGAGATCGACCTGCCTCTGCCTCCCAAGTGCTGGGATTAAAAGCGTGTGCCACCACTGCCCGGCCTTATTTACTTTTTATGGCATGATAAAACACCTTGACCACATGCAACTTAGAAAAGAAAACGTTTAGTTGGGTTTATAGTTCCAGAGCATTAGAATCTGTGGTGATGGAGCAGAGATTACAGCAGCAGGAGCTAAGAGGTCACATCTTTAACAGCAGGTAGGTGGCAGAGAACACACTGGGAAGGGCATGAGTCTTTTGAAACCCCTGTTTCAAAATAAAAAGAATAAAATAGCTCAATAGAGTTCTTGGAGATGCCAGTAAATAAGCAGTTATATTTATCTTGTACTCTTTTGTATGTTTGTTTTTACATTAAAGAATTTCTCATTACCATTAAATTATGAAAAGAAAGCCTGTTTTGGTTTGCTCATATATTATACCTAACTAGTTTTCAGAGAACTGAATGGTCCTTTTTCCTCCTTTCAGGATGGTCTGCTTGTTCTTCATTATGGTCTTGTGGTTTCTCCTTTGAAAATAACTTGAAGATGCAAGGGTATATGAAGAGGGGAAAGCAGTAAGGAGGCTTCTGCTGGTCTGCATCACACCAAAGATTCTCAAGAAACATGTAGCCACCACTACTTTGCGCTGTTAAAGAGCTAGCTTCTGTTTTCCACACCAGAACCCTAGCATTGTATTGCAACTTGAAACAATAGAATGTATTTGCTACACTAGAGACTATGTAAAAAGCACTCAAAACTCAGGGGAAAAAGCTGTAAACACTGAATTTTAAAATTCCTTGTGATTCCAAATACAAGGAAGTTGCTAGTTGCTTCTCATCTTTGAGGTAGGTTGGTCATTTGGCAGCTAGGATTCTGCCCTCCAGGCTGCATGGGTTGGGTGGGTGTCCTTGGAGAACAGCTTTGCTTTGAATTCAAAGCCAATCCGTTAAACCGAAGGGTGCACTCAGCACCAGAACTACTGACCATTTACACGATCTGTCCTATTCTAAATGTTAGAGAAACAAATAGAGATCCTATTAAAGCAATGCTATTCAGCTCTGAGACAGTGGAGAGACTGTCTCCTGTTAGATATGGCTCTCAACATCCCTTAAATACAAGGTGCTTCTTTGTGATGGTTTATCAGTGCCACTGGGACAGTTGTCACAGGGTTCCCCCAGTGTGGCTGTTGATAATGGCACTTGTAGCTTCTAAAGGTAGCAGAAAATTTCAGGTGAATTAACAGAAGTTTACAGGGTCCTTACTGTTTTCTCAGTCACTCAGCTTAACTGGTTCTGTGTTTAATGTTTGTTCCCTTGTCCCTGGGATAAAGAATGAGAGTCTCTGAGAACCCTGCTTTCACAAAGACTTAATTTTAACCATTATTTTGCCTAAAATTAGCTTCCTGATGCTTTCTAAAAGAAATATTTTCTAGACTTATTTCACAGCAAAATTTCCAAATCTGTACAGAAACTTAAAAAATTGGACTTACATTGACAATTGTTTTGTAAAGAACTTAATGAATTGTGTGTAAATCTCTTCTAACTTTAATAAAAATTTATTTTAGCCAATTTGAAGTGTGTTAACATTCTTTATTTTTTTATTGTGTATGTGTGTGTGTGTGCCATAATATTGTGGGAAGAAAGCAAAAGGCATAATATTGTGGGAAGAAAGCAAAAGGCATAATATTGTGGGAAGAAAGCAAAAGGCATAATATTGTGGGAAGAAAGCAAAAGGCATAATATTGTGGGAAGAAAGCAAAAGGCATAATATTGTGGGAAGAAAGCAAAAGGCATAATATTGTGGTGTGTGTGTGTGTGCCATAATATTGTGGGAAGAAAGCAAAAGGCATAATATGTGGGAAGAAAGCAAAAGGATCGTTTCTCTCTGTTCACCATGTGGGTCCTGAAGTTCAAACTTAGGTAGTCAGGCTTGATGGCAACACCTTTGCCTACTGAGCCATCTCATCACCCCTTGACTGGATTTTTAAAAACAAAACAAAAGACAAGATGTCTGAATTAACATTAAACTGCCATACCTGGGTATTTAATCAACATCTTTACGATCGATGCTGCTGTGTTAGGCTAAGCTGCTCTTGACAATAGACAACTATAGAATTCATTGCCACTTTAACTGATGTCAGCATCTACTTAGGGATTTCCAAGGCCACCCTCAGGTTCATGGAGTCACTTGCAGGGCTTAGAAAGTTTTTATTAGGGTTATCAAAGCCAGAGGATGCAAATCAAGATCAGCAAGGGGAATAGGCACTTTCCCTGGAGTTGGGAAAACCAGGCACAAGTTTCTGGTTGACTTATTCCAGTTGTCATGCAGGGACAGTTGTTTAAATCTCAGAAAGTAGTGTGATGTGTGATGATGTTTTGCCAACAAGTTCACTGTAGTAGTCACAGCTTTACTGGGAGTCAAGTAGGCACTAGTGAATGTGCCCGCAAGCAAGTTACATTATACACATAAACTTCGTGCTATGGCCCCAAATCTTAGGTGTACACAGGTAATCAAAGCCCGATGAATTAACCCTTTAATGTGTATATCACATACTAGAAATCCTGGTTTGTGGGCCAGAGAGAGATGGCTCATTGGGTAATATCACCTGTTGCCAAGCCTGACGACTTGAGTTCAATATCTTGGAACTCAAAATAGGAGAGCCAGCTCCTACAAATAGTTCTGACCTCCACATGTTTGCTATGGCACACTCCCATACATATACACATGATAAATAATAATAATAAAAATAACTTGATCTAGGTCAGAAGTCAGGTGGTCCTCAGGAGCTGTGCTGTCTCTGCCTATTCAATTACAAGCACGGGCTACCATGTCTAGGCCTTTTATGTGGATGCCGGGGATAGAACTCAGATTCTCGTGCTTGTATGGCAAACACTTGCTGGCTCATCTCCCTAACCCCTGAGATCCTGATTTTAAAATGGAGATAAAAGCCAGCCAGGTGGTACATGCTGGTAATCCCAGAACTCGGGTGGATAGAAGCCAGCCAAGTGATACATGCTGATGATCCCAGTGCTCAGGTGGTAGAGACAGGGTCTCTGAGTTTGGGACTAGTCTGATCTACATAGTCGGGTTCCAGGACAGCCAGGTCTACATAGACCCTACTCCAAAAAAAAAAAAAAAAAAAAAAAAAAAAAGCAAAATGACACAGCCCCCACCCAAAAGTATGTGTGTTAGGTCTCTCTGTGTGTGTACTTCTGTATGCAGGAACGTGCTCCTGTTTGAGGGTGGGAGCCAGAAGGGGGCGCTGCATCCTTCAGAGCAGAAGTTAGATGCATTTGCTAGAAGCTTGGATTGTTACAAGAGTTCTGGCATCCAAATTCTGGTGCTAAAGATTGCAAGATTGCAGTGAGCATTTTAAACCACTGAGCCATCTCTTTAGCCCCTGGCCCCATTTGTTTTGAGACAGGGTTAGACATCAGCCCAGGATACTGATACCCTGTCTCAAGAATGAGAAGGTTCTCATATTTTATCTTTTGAATGTAGTGGTGTACCAATGAATGTGATTGTTGGTTTCTCTTCAAAACTAGACTGGGGAAATCTGAATTAATTTTCTACCGAGATCGAATAGTCTCTTCACAAATGAAATGCCATATTGATCTCCTGAAAGTCTGCCGAGCACTCACATTAATTAATTTTCTACCGAGATCGAATAGTCTCTTCACAAATGAAATGCCATGTTGATCTCCTGAAAGTCTGCCGAGCACTCACATACATGGCAATCCTACTTCAGCTTTTTAATTGTTTGTTTTTATTTTTTTGCGAGGGCTCTCACTGCAGCCTATGCACTCACAATCCTCCTACCTTAATCTCCCAAGTACTGACAACAGATTTGTACCATAATGCCTGGTGAGTCAGTTATCCTAATGAACAAGGGGATCTATCCATTAATATCATGAGATTGCTACAGAATCATTTACTTTTCCCCTTGCTTTACTTACATTTACCACTAAGCAGGAGAGGTGGAAATACAGCCTGGGGATTAACATCTCAGGCTCTGAGGCTGGGTCTCCTGCATTCTGCTTTCATTCTGAGTCCAACCTTGATTCTTGTGCTTATATGTGTACTAGAGTGTCCCATGAACACTTCCAGGGACCAGAAGAGCTCCTTTTATTGAGCTAAAGCTTCATTAGCCCTGAGGGAGGTTGGTTATTTTGAGACAGATCTCTCTATGTAGCTCTGGCTGGCCTGGAACTTGGTGTGTAGCCAGGCTGGCCTTGAACAAAGAAATGTACTTACCTCTGCCTCTGGGATGCTGGGCTTTAAGGCACCACATCTGGCCAGGAATTCTTTATATCATGGATGAATCCTTTTGTTGAGAAGTCAAAGAGGGGCAACCCATCTCCTCTTTATTAATTTACTGTAGCAGATGAATCTGCGTGAGATAAATTTGTTTTACTATGCAATGCTGCTGGCTCAGCCTGTAGTCCCAGTTACTTGGACTATACAAGCAGAAGACTCCAAAGACCCATGAGTTGAAGGCCAGCCTGGGCAAAACCTAAACCAGACCTGGTGGCATAGTCCTTATAAACCCATCATGTGGCAGGTAGTACTAAAAAGCGTATGAGTTTGAGGCTAACCTGGGCTAAATAACAAATTCCATGCCAGTTTGGGTTATGGGGTATGGGGTCCTGTCTAGAAAAAGAAGGGGGAAAAAAGTCAGAATGTAGGCTCTTTAAAAAAAAAAATTGGAAAAAGAAGGGGGAAAAAAGTCAGAATGTAGGCTCTTTAAAAAAAAAAAAATTGTTTTTGGTGACACACGCCTTTAATCCTAGCTCTCCTATTGTAGATACAGAGTTAGATAATCTCTGAGTTAGAGGCCAGCCTGGTCTATAGAGTGAGTTCCAGGATTGCCAGGACTCCACAGAGAAACTCTGTCTTGGAAAAAGATTTATTTTGTAATCGTGTCGGTGTGTATCAGTGTGAGGGTTTATGCGTGATTGTTGATGCAAACCTGGGGTGTGTGGTTGGTCGTTTTTTTTTTTTTTTTTTTTTTTTTTTTTTTTTTTTTTTTTTGGTGGGTGCTGGAAACTGAATCTGTGTCCTGTGCAAGACCAGCAAGTGCTCATAACTGCCCAGTCATGTCTTCAGCCCTCAGGTATGGGTTCTTAAGCAAACAACAACAAAATACTACTTTGGGGTATGCCCTGTGCAGTTATCATCAACAGACGAGACCTATTCCTGGTATATTTCAAATTTCTAGCCTTTATTCTGTGATCTGGGTTCCACTCTGCTGGGCACTCACTCTAAAACAGAACCCATTAGAGAGCTGGAGTGGAATGTCACAAACATTGCGCAGAGGCCGCCTGCTTCATTAGGGAAGATAGCGACCATCTGGTAGCTACAGTGATAAATCAGTGAGGAGGAGAGATGAGAAAATCCTCTACGATAAATCTTCATTTTTTCCCTTTGTATCCAGAACTATGAGGAATCACTGAGGCCCTACAGAAGCATAAATCTTCAAAAATCTGCAGGGTGACTTACTATTTTAATGTAATCTCTCTCTCTCCCTCTCTCTCTCTCTCTCTCTCTCTCTCTCTCTCTCTCTCTCTCTCTCTCTCTCTCTCTCTCTCTCTCTCTCTCTCTCTCTCTCTCTCTCTCTCTCTCTCTCTCTGTATGTGTGTGTGTGTTTTGAGGAAGGATTTGTAAATCTTAGCTGATCTCCACCCCAGCCTAGGAAGCTTGGAAGATCTGGGCATTAAATGCAGGAGCAATCAAATTATCTTCTGGGAGATGGATAGAGGAGGAGAGACGCCCTTTGATCTCTGTAGCTAACATTCTCTTTGTCTTCTGAGGGATGAAATGGAGCATGGTAACGTAATAAAAACAGCCCTTTGTTCAGCGGGACTCAACAGCATTTCCTCTGGTCAATGGCAAATCCATGTGAGATATTTGGAAATTGCAAAGTGCAGGATGGCACCAGTCTAATATGAATATCAAATTAGGAAACGTTACAAAGGCAATATATCGGTTTCTATGAAGAAAGTATTTTACACGTGCACTCTGTTTTAACAGCTCATGAGCTCCACTTGTCAGTTATTTTTATTTTAAATGACTGTATTTGCTTTCAGGTTCTTGAGTTTATTTGGTTAGAAGAAAAAAAAAGTGTAATCTTGCAGTTAGATGTTTTTCAGGGCCTTGGAGATGTCTGGTGGTATTGTACTGAAAGAAACAGTCGAAAGCAGTATTGGGAACTCAGAAGTAAACAACATTGCCCATTATGTTTTCTTCTGTTACAACCAGAGTGACTTCTGGCTTTTATTCCAGGCTTTAATTTAAAATCAGTACTCTTATTGGGTCTGCTTCCTGCTACCCTGAAGGGGATCCTTCTACCTGGGGTGGGCCCAGGGGAAGGTGGCTGTATACAATGGTCTCAGCTGGAGCAGAAGGTTTGCTAGGCTTGCATGACCTTTTTGTTTTCCTGATAATTTCATAAATTCCCTATTGATGGGTTTTTAGAATTGAGTTTAAATTTGCATAACTCAAAAAGCAATCTCTTTACGGCTGGGGCGTTAACTTGTGGGGGGTTGCTTTTGTTCCCCAGAA